GGCCGTCACCACCCCCAGCTCCTTCAAGGTCAATCCAGTCACTTCAAGGATGCCAGCCATTCATCTTGCCCTTGGTCCGCCCTCCTGGACCAGTCCACACCAGAGCTCCCTGTCGACCGTGGCCACGCCCAGCTCCTTCAAGGTCAATCCAGTCACTTCAAGGATACCAGCCATCCATCTTGCCCTTGGTCGACCCTTCTTCCTTTTTCCTTCACGAGAGGGGGTGAGCTCCTGCCTGTCAGCTCCAGCTTCCCATGCATGGACATGAAAGCCTCCCACAGTATGGTAACACATACTGGCAACATTCCCTGATCAATGTCTCTGCAGGCTGCCATTTCTCTCACACCAGAAGCAACTTGCAGTTTCTCAAGACCCTTATGGTATTATTATTATTATTATTATTATTATTATTAGATCTCACTACCTCTGAGGATGCTTGCCATAGATGCAGGTGAAACGTCAGGAGAGAATGCCGCTAGAACATGGCCATATAGCCCAAAAAAACCTACAACCCATTATTATTATTATTATGATCCTAGAACTGGAAGAGACCCTAAGAGCTTGCCGTAGATGTGGGAGAACTATCAGGAGAGAATGCTTCTGGAAATGTACGAAATAGAAGAGACCCCCAAGGGTCATCCAGTCCAACTCCCTTTTGGCAGGCAGGACACCATTAAAGCTCTCCCAACAGATAGCCATCCAGAATCTGTTGATGAATAATAATAATTATAATAATGATGATAATAATGGGTTGCTGTGATTTTTCCGGGCTGTCACATGTTCCAGAAGCATTCCCTCCTGACGTTTCGCCCACTCTACGGTTGTGAGGATTTTTTTTTTGTCTTGAGTGACTTGAGAAACTGCAAGTCGGTTCTGGTGTGAGAGAATTGGCCGTCTGCAAGGACATTGCCCAGGGGACATTGCCTGGATGTTTTGATGTGTTTCCATCCTTGTGGGAGGCTTCTCTCATGTCCCCACACGGAGAGCTGGAGCTGACAGGGGGAGCTCATCTGTGATCTCCCTGTATTTGAACCTGTGACCTGTCAATCTTCAGTCCTGCTGGCACAAGGGTTTAACCCTCTGCACGACTGGGGGCTCCCAGCTTCCCATGCAGTTGGGACACTCACACTTGCCTCCAACAGACAAGAGCTCTTTCTCCCACCCTGGACATCATTCCACAGATCTATAAACCCCTGAGGATGCCTGAGGATGTCTGCCATAGATGTGGGAGAAACGTCAGGAGAGAATGCTTCTGGAACATGTGACATCATGAATACTAATATTGGACACCTATTTCCAGGCTAAATTGGAATCTGTGTGAATGTTGCCACTGGCCACCTGGATTAGCATCGAATGTCTTGCAGCTTCAAAGCCTGGCTGCTTCCTGCTTGAGGGAATCCTTTGTTGGGATTGCTTCTAAAAGACAAGAAACGTCAGGAGAGAATGCTTCTGGAACATGGCCAGACAGCCCAGAAAACTCACAGCAACTTACTCACCATATTGGACACTGACCTATTTCCAGGCTAAATTGGACCCTGTGTGAAGGTTGGCATTGGCATTGAATAGCCTTGCAGCCTCAAAGCCTGGCTGCTTCCTGCTTGAGGGAATCCTTTGTTGGGACACTCACGCTTGCCTCCAACAGACAGGAGCTCTTTCTCCCACCCTGGACATCATTCCACAAATATATAATAAACCCAATTTTCCTAGTTTCCAACAGACCTCACAACCTCTGAGGATGCTGCCATAGATGGGGGAGAAATGTCAGGAGAGAATGCTTCTGGAACGTGTGACAGCATGAATACTAATATTGGACACCTATTTCCAGGCTAAATTGGAATCTGTGTGAATGTTGCCATTGGCCACCTGGATTAGCATTGAATGTCCTTGCAGCTTCAAAGCCTGGCTACTTTCTGCTTGAGGGAATCCTTTGTTGGGATTGTTTTAATTATTATTATTATTGTTATTATTATTATTATTATTATTATTAATAATTTATATTAATATTATTTTTTATTTTTTATTATTATTATTATTTTGTTTATTATTATTATTATTAATCATTATTCTTATACCCTTGTGCTGTTGACCTGAAGGGTGGCGATTCGAAACCGTGAGAGGGGTGAGCTCCTGCCTGTCAGCTCCAGCTTCCCATGCAGTTGGGACACTCACACTTGCCTCCAACAGACAAGAGCTCTTTCTCCCACCCTGGACATCATTCCACAGATCTATAAACCCCTGAGGATGCCTGAGGATGTCTGCCATAGATGTGGGAGAAACGTCAGGAGAGAATGCTTCTGGAACATGTGACAGCATGAATACTAATATTGGACACCTATTTCCAGGCTAAATTGGAATCTGTGTGAATGTTGCCATTGGCCACCTGGATTAGCATCGAATGTCTTTGCAGCTTCAAAGCCTGGCTGCTTCCTGCTTGAGGGAATCCTTTGTTGGGATTGCTTCTAAAAGACAAGAAACGTCAGGAGAGAATGCTTCTGGAACATGGCCAGACAGCCCAGAAAACTCACAGCAACTTACTCACCATATTGGACACTGACCTATTTCCAGGCTAAATTGGACCCTGTGTGAAGGTTGGCATTGGCATTGAATAGCCTTGCAGCCTCAAAGCCTGGCTGCTTCCTGCTTGAGGGAATCCTTTGTTGGGACACTCACGCTTGCCTCCAACAGACAGGAGCTCTTTCTCCCACCCTGGACATCATTCCACAAATATATAATAAACCCAATTTTCCTAGTTTCCAACAGACCTCACAACCTCTGAGGATGCTGCCATAGATGGGGGAGAAATGTCAGGAGAGAATGCTTCTGGAACGTGTGACAGCATGAATACTAATATTGGACACCTATTTCCAGGCTAAATTGGAACCTGTGTGAATGTTGCCACTGGCCACCTGGATTAGCATTGAATGTCCTTGCAGCTTCAAAGCCTGGCTGCTTTTTGCTTGAGGGAATCCTTTGTTGGGATTGTTTTATTATTATTATATTATATTATTATTATTATTTTATATTAATATTATATTTTATTATTATTTTATTATTATTTCTTTTGTTTATTATTATTATTATTATTATTTATCATTATTCTTATACCCTTGTGCTGTTGACCTGAAGGTTGGCAATTCGAAACCGTGAGAGGGGTGAGCTCCTGCCTGTCAGCTCCAGCTTCCCATGCAGTTGGGACACTCACACTTGCCTCCAACAGACAAGAGCTCTCTCCTCTGACATTTCGCCCAGGGCCAGCTAACAACTCCCAACAAAGGATCCCCCAGGCAGGAAGCAGCCAGGCTTTGAAGCTGCAAGGCCATTCAACGCTAATTAAGCTGCCCAATTGCAACATACAAACTTGCCTCTCACCCTGGACATCATTCCACAGGTATATAAACCCTGCTTGCTTAGTTTCCAACAGACCAAGTGAGTGTTGCCATTGGGCACCTGGATTAGCACTTTGCAGCTACAAAGCCTGGCTGCTTCCTGCTGGAGGGAATCCTTCCCATGCAGTTGGGACACTCACACTTGCCTCCAACAGACAAGAGCTCTCTCTCTCCTGACGTTTCGCCCAGGGCCAGCTAACAACTCCCAACAAAGGATCCCCCAGGCAGGAAGCAGCCAGGCTTTGAAGCTGCAAGGCCATTCAACGCTAATTAAGCTGCCCAATTGCAACATACAAACTTGCCTCTCACCCTGGACATCATTCCACAGGTATATAAACCCTGCTTGCTTAGTTTCCAACAGACCAAGTGAGTGTTGCCATTGGGCACCTGGATTAGCACTTTGCAGCTACAAAGCCTGGCTGCTTCCTGCTGGAGGGAATCCTTTGCTGGGACTGCTTCTAAAAGACAAGAGTTCTTTTTCTCACTCTGGACATCCTTCCACAAATATATAATAAACCCAATTTTTCTAGTTTCCAACAGTTTCCTCATCACCCCTGATCCTTTGCTGGGACTGCTTCTAAAAGACAAGAGTTCTTTTTCTCACTCTGGACATCCTTCCACAAATATATAATAAACCCAATTTTTCTAGTTTCCAACAGTTTCCTCATCACCCCTGCCATAGATGTGGGAGAATCGACATTGGCATCGAATAGCCTTGCAGCCTCAAAGCCTGGCTGCTTCCTGCTTAAGGGAATCCTTTGTTGGGATTGCTTCTAAAAGACAAGAGCTCTTTTTTCCCACCCTGGACATCATTCCACAGGTATATAAACCCAATTTTCCTAGTTTCCAACAGTTTCCTCACCACCCCTGCCATAGATGTGGGAGAAACGGCATTGGCATTGAATAGCCTTGCAGCTTCAAAGCCTGGCTGCTTCCTGCTTGAGGGAATCCTTTGTTGGGATTGCTTCTAAAAGACAAGAGCTCTTTCTTTCACCCTGGACATCATTCCATAGGTATGGAATGGTATGGAACCCAATTTTCCTAGTTTCCAACAGTTTCCTCACCACCCCTGCCATAGATGTGGGAGAAACGTCAGGAGAGAATGCTTCTGGAAGGTGTGACAGCCCTGAAAACTCGCAGCAACCCAGGCAAAAGGGAAGAAAACCCTTCCCTTTTGCAAGGGTTGCAGGGTGAGGATGAGTCAGGGATGGGGGGAAAAAAATAGTCAGAGGAGGAGAAGGAAGGTTGCAAGAGTCACTCCCTTCTTTTCCTCTCTTCTCTTCTTCTTCTGTCCTCCTCCTTCCTCCCCTTTGGAAAGAGTGGGCTGGGCTTTGACCGGAAGCTGCCGCCCCACCTCTGCCCGCTTGGGTGCCCCCCCTTTTGTCCCCTCCCTTCTCCAAAGCGGAAGAGCCCCCCAAGAGACGGGTGAGTGGAAGGAGAAGTGAGTGGGTGGGCGCATGGAGAGGGGTGCAGGAGGGACACAACACCCACACCCGCATCAAGGCGGGCCCCTCTTTTAGGGGGTGAATCGGCCCTCGATTGCTTTCCCTGCTTGTGGGGGGGCAGAGGGAGGGGGGAGGAAGGGAGGGGAGGGGGGCTGAGGAGGGAGGGGCCAGGGAGGGGAAGAAGGGGGGCTCCAAAGTCGGGGTTCCCCCCAACAGAGCCTTTTACGCACAAGGTTTCCTTGCTTTTACGCACCTTGTTTTCCCTTAGTAAAAAAAAGAGGGGTTAATTTATTCCTCCCTTTTGGGGGGCTCAACAAGCCTTGAAGCCCCTCCCTCCAAATAGGAAGGGAGGGGGAAAAGGAGGAGGTAAAAAAGGGGGGAAACCAAGGAAAGTTGGGGAGACTCCCCCAAAACAGAAGAGGATAGTTTGGCAGGAGTGGACTTCCCCCAAAGCGTGAGTTTGTAACCAATTACTACTTTTTGGGGGGGTGTTTTGAGGGGGAAATCTTTCTCATCCTTTAGGGGTCTCTTCCTCTACATTTAGGGGTGTCTTCCTCAATTTAGGGGTCTCTTCCTCTCCATTTAGGGGTCTCTTCCTCCTCATTGAGTGGCATCTTCCTCTTGGTTTCCTTGCAACTTTTTGGATAGTTTTGATGTGTTTGTTTGTAACAAATCACTCCTTTTTTGGGGGGTGATTTGGGGGGATCTTCCTCTTCATTTAGGGGTCTCTTCCTTTCCATTTAGGGGGTCTCCTCCTCTTCAATTCAGGGTCTCTTCCTCTCCATTTAGGGGTCTCTTCCTCCTAATTTAGTGGTGTTTTTTTTTCTTTGCAACTTTTTGGATAGTTTTGATGTGTTTGTTTGTAACAAATCACTCCTTTTTTGGGGGGTATTTTGGGGGATCTTCCTCTGCATTTAGGGGTCTCTTCCTCTTCAATTCTGGGTCTCTTCCTCAGCATTTAGGGGGCTCTTCCTCCTAATTTAGTGGCGTTTTCCTCTTGGTTTCTTTGCAACTTTTGGATAGTTTTCATGTGTTTGTTTGGGGTTTGTAACAAATCACTCCTTTTTTGGGGGGTGTTTTGGGGGATCTTCCTCTGCATTTAGGGGTCTCCTCCTCTTCAATTCAGGGTCTCTTCCTCTCCATTTAGGGGTCTCTTCCTCTCCATTTAGGGGTCTCTTCCTCCTCATTTAGTATCATTTTCCTCTTGGTTTCCTTGCAACTTTTGGATAGTTTTGATGTGTTTGTTTGGGGTTTGTTTGTTTGGGGATTACTTCCTTTTTTGTGGGGGTGTTTTGGGGGAGATCTTCCTCTTAATTTAGGGGTCTCTTCCTCTCCATTTAGGGGTCTCTTCCTCCTCATTTAGTGGCGTCTTCCTCTTGGTTTCCTTGCAACTTTTTGGATAGTTTTGATGTGTTTGTTTGGGGTTTGCTCCTTTTTTTGTGGGGTGTTTTGCGGGGATCCTCTTCATTTAGGGATGTCTTCCGCTACATTTAGTTGGGTTTTCCCTCTTGGTTTTTTTGCAACTTTTGGATAGTTTTGATGTGTTTGTTTGGGGTTTGTGTTTGTATGGGGATTACTACTTTTTTGTGGGGGTGTTTTGGAAGGGATCTTTCTCTCCATTTAGGGGTCTCTTCCTGTCCATTTAGGGGACTCTTCCTCCTCATTGAGTGGAATCTTCCTCTTGGTTTCCTTGCAATTTTTGGATAGTTTTGATGTATTTGTTTGGGGTTTACCCCCTTTTTTTGGGGTGTTTTGGGGGTGATCTTCCTCCTCATCTAGGAGTGTCTTCCTCTTCACTTAGGGGTCTCTTCCTCCTCCTTTAGGGGACTCTTCCTCTGCATTTGGTGGGGTCTTCCTCTTGCTTTCCTTGCAACTTTTGGATAGTTTTGATGTATTTGTTTGGGGTTTACCCCCTTTTTGTTGGGGTGTTTTGGGGGTGATCTTCCTCCTCATCTAGGAGTGTCTTCCTCTTCACTTAGGGGTCTCTTCCTCCTCCTTTAGGGGACTCTTCCTCTGCATTTGGTGGAGTCTTCCTCTTGCTTTCCTTGCAACTTTTGGATAGTTTTGATGTATTTGTTTGGGGTTTACTCCTTTTTGTGGGGGTGTTTGGGGGGGATCTTCCTCTTAATTTAGGGGCCTTATCGTCTACATTTAGGGGTGTCTTCCTCTACATTTAGGGGTCTCTTCCTCTACATTTAGGGGTCTCTTCCTCTCTGTTTAGGGGTCTCTTCCTCATCATTCAGGGGTCTCTTTCTCTGCATTTAGTGGCGTCTTCCTCTTGGTTTCCTTGCAACTTTTGGATAGTTTTGATGTATTTGTTTGGGGTTTACTCCTTTTTGTGGGGGTGTTTTTTTGGGGGGGGGATCTTCCTCTTAATTTAGGGGCCTTATCGTCTACATTTAGGGGTGTCTTCCTCTACATTTAGGGGTCTCTTCCTCTACATTTAGGGGTCTCTTCCTCCTCATTGAGTGGCATCTTCCTCTTGGTTTCCATGCAACTTTTTGGATAGTTTTGATGTATTTGTTTGGGGTTTACTCCTTTTTGTGGGAGTTGTTTTGGGGGGATCTTCCTCTTAATTTAGGGGTCTCTTCCTCCTCATTTAGGGGTCTCTTCCTCTACATTTAGGGGTCTTTTCCTCCTCATTGAGTGGCATCTTCCTCTTGGTTTCCTTGCAACTTTTGGATAGTTTTGATGTATTTGTTTGGGGTTGACTCCTTTTTGTTGGGGTGTTTTGCGGGTGATCTTCCTCTACATTTAGGGGTCTCATCCTCCTCATTTAGGGGTCTCTTTCTCCTCATTTAGGGGTCTCTTCCCCTTCATTCAGGGGTCTCTTCCTCTGCATTTAGTGGGGTCTTCCTCTTGCTTTCCTTGCAACTTTTGGATACTTTTGATGTGTTTGTTTGGGGTCCCTTTTTGGAGAGCTTTTGGGCAACTTTGTGTCACCTCCCTTTGGGAAGCTTGGCAACTTTGTGGCCTGGATGTATCCAGATCTGTAGCTTCCCTAGTTACAAAGTCTTCCTTCCCCTGAGAAAAAGTAACTTCAATGTATTGTCGAAGGCTTTCATGGCCGGAATCACTGGGTGTTGTAGGTTTTTTCGGGCTGTATGGCCATGTTCTAGAGGCATTCTCTCCTGACGTTTCGCCTGCATCTATGCACCTCTGAGGATGCTTGCCATAGATGCAGGCGAAACGTCAGGAGAAATGCCTCTAGAACATGGCCATATAGCCCGAAAAACCCACAAGAACTGAGAAAAGTAACTTCCTTCGAAAGGACCCCCAAAGGCCCAAGTGGCGTTGTTTTCCCTCCACGGCAGCGGTGAGTCCCTCCAGGCCTTGGGAGCAGGCCAGGAACGCGCCGAGGCGTGGTGTGCCTTTCAAATGCTGATTTTATTTTAATTTTTTGTATATTTCCGTGCATAATCTTCTTCTTTGGCTTGGGTGCCTTCCTTCCTTCCTTCTTTCCTTCTTTCCTCCCTTCTTTTCCCAGTGACTCAGTTTCACGTGGAAGTTCAGTTTTTCCTCCCTGTTCCCAAAAGAATCTGGAAGGTAATTCTTTCCAATTGGAGAAGAAGGGAAGGAGGAAGGGAGGGGGAGAAAGAAAAGAAAAGAAAGGCAGAGATATGATGAAGTGGAGGAGTGGGAGAAGGCCTTCCTTCCTCTTCCATCCCTAAGAGATCAGGCTAATGGATCTTTCTCTTTGAGAGAGTCAAGAGGAGGATAGACTCCCTTTTCAACCCATTACAAACCAGGGAAGCCTTCCACCGGATCATGTTTTCTTCCCTTCCTCTTATTTCTTTCCTGTGTGTGTGTATCTCTGTGTGTAAATATACTATACACTATATCGTGTATGTGTGTATATGTGTGTGTGTATAGTGCATGCGTCTCTCTGTGTATATATATAATGTATGTGTGTCTCTTTGTGTATATATGATGTATGTGTATGTATATATACATATGTATAGTGTGTATATATAGTGTCTGTATATATATATGTGTGTGTTTATATAGTGTACGTGTGTATATATATATAAATTGTATACACACATACACTATATATATATGCGCAGTATACTTATGTATATATACATACACATACATTATATACACACAGAGAGACACGTAGACTATATATATATATACACACATACACTATATATACACTCTGTCTCTCTGTGTATAATGTATATGCATGTATATATACACAAGTATAGTGTGTGTGTATATATATACACATATGCATAGTGTGTATATATAGTGTATGTGTCTCTGTGAATATATAGTGTGTGTATATATATAGTGTATGTATATATAATGTATGTGTATGTATATATACATAAGTATAATGTGTGTGTATATATAGTATATGTGTGTATATACATACACATATGTATAGTGTGCATATATAGTGTATGTGTCTCTCTGTGTATATATAGTGTGTGTGTATATATAGTATATGTGTGTGTATATATATAATGTATGTGTGTCTCTCTGTGTATATATAATGTATATGTATGTAATATACATAAGTATAGTGTGTGTATATATATAGTTTATCTGTCTGTGTGTGTGTATATATATATACATATGTATAGTGTGCATATATATTGTGTGTGTCTGTGTATATATAGTGTGTGGGTATATAGTGTATGTGTGTGTATATATATAATGTATGTGTGTCTCTATGTATATAATGTATGTTTGTATATATAGTGTGTAGTGTGTGTGTATATATATTATATGTGTGTATATATACACACATATATATAGTGTATGTGTCTCTCTGTGTATATATAGTGTGTGTGTATATATAATGTATGTGTGTCTCTCTGTATATATATACTGTATATGTATGTATATATACATAAGTATAGTGTGTGTACATATAGTGTATGTGTGTGTGTATATATATATATACACACATACATCGTGTGTGTCTCTCTGTATATATAGTGTATGTGTCTCTATGTGTATATATAATGTATGTGTATGTATATATACACAAGTATAATGTGTGTGTGTATATATATAGTGTATTTGTGTATACATATGTATAGTGTGTGTGTATATATAGTGTATGTGTGTGAGTATATAGTGTATGTGTCTCTGTGTGTATATATATATGGTGTGTGTGTGTATTCCACGATTGTGAGATCCAGGAGTATTTGCTCCAAAACTCTTGTCAGTCTGAATTCCGAAGTTCCAGAGTAATTTGATGTTTGTTGTTGTGGTTTGGAGTGTCCATCAACAACACAAAGCATCCTATGACCGCTTTCCAAACAAAGGCATTGGAAGAGATTGATATAGTGTCAAAAGCATGGGGAGCCTTTGTTGTTGTGTGTGTTTTGTGGGCCACTTTGTTTGTGTTCGGATAGGAAACTCTTTCTGGAAAGGGAGCTGAATGGCCCATTTGAAACATTTTGTTTTTTCGAGAAAGAAAGGTGGGATTTCCATAAC